CCAATTGTCAAAGCAATGAGTCTTCTAACTTCTCTGCTTCTCGTCCCGGCCTCCGCCTACATCGTTTATGCCGTCGTCAAATTCCTCTACAAAGTGGTTTGGCAACCTCTCCAGACACAGCGGTTCCTCCACTCCCAAGGCCTCAAAGGCCCTCCTTACGCTTTCCTCCTAGGCAACGCCAAACAACTCATCCAGCTTAGAGAGGAAGCGTTGACCAAACCCATGCCCACTCTTTCCCACGACATAGCTCAAAGGGTCACCCCTCACATCTCCCTATGGACCAAGCAATACGGTACGGAGAAAGAGGCTTCAAATTTCAATTCAAGGTGCTTTTGTGGGTTTATAACACTTCTCGTGTTGTTACTAATGGGATTCTGAATTATGTTTTGCCCGTAATAGGGAAGAATTTTGTGTTTTGGATTGGACCGCGACCTCAAATGGTTCTCGGCGAGCCAGATTTAATCAAAGAGGTTCTAAGTAACAAAGACCGTATTTTCTCTAAATCTGAACTGTTGTCTCCTTACGTTCGAAAGATTTTTGGCCAAGGAATCGTGAATAGCGAAGGTGAAAAGTGGGTTAAGGTTAGAAGAATGGCGGATTTCGCTTTACATGGCGACAACCTCAAAGTAAGCTACACATCTCAAACTTTTCTTTAAATTCATTCTTTTATCTTCGTTTGAGTTTATGTTTCTAATGAGGGAAAATAATAATGTTTCGAATGCTATTGGGGATCTGTTTGATAAAAGGTGTACGTGAATCAAATCCATTCATAATTTTAAGAAACTAGGAGGTCGTTTGCTTTTGGTATTTTGGTGTTGGATTTTGGCCCAAAATCCAACATATGTTGGACTTTATAATGAATCCATATTTGTTAGCATATAATGGATTTTGTTTCAATCTGTGGGGTCCACTAATATTGGATTATTTGGAGCTAAAATCCGTGGGCCCCATGGATTATAAAATCTTACCTCTATAGCTAGGATTTTGGAAGATAGATATAATCCATGATGTTTAATGACCGTGTTACCCCCACTCATTTTGTGTAATCCAATTTTGCCCTCGGTTATTATTATCTCTACTGAGGACTTTTGTCTACACTCTCATCTCACCAACTTTGTCTCTTCGTTGCCAAGGGATTGCAACACAGCAAAAAGCTCCGGCAACCTTTTCCATCTCTGCCTATCGTCGTTTTGTCTTCCTTTTTTATGAAGCTCAACAATTAATTATTTCATGCTTACATCCTCTTTTTTTATAATCCAATCCAAACCCTTGATTTTCCTTTCGACATTATTGGTTTGGGTTGAGAGTTTCAATTTACTTTAATAGTATGGATGTTGCTGCCATTTTTACATATGCTAATTCTTCATGTATATACAAAAACATTCAAAATACAAGTAAAGTAAAAAGTGATTCATTAAGGATAAGAAAGTAATTTCCCCAATGAAGCCATAATTCCAACCTACTAAAAGCCATTACCAAATCCTACAAACAAACATGGAAGTTTCAAAATCCAACATAATCTCTCATATTCAAAACCCAAGGTTTTATCATAATTCCTCATTTTCTAAAATCCTAGAAGCAAACGACCCCTAGATCTCTGCCACGCTTAATCTATCTATACCACCTATATCTTTATCTATATAGGGTGACTTCTATCATACACCATACATATATTAGCCTAACATTAATGGTTATTTCTTAAAAAAACTTTTTATTCATTCCGAATAACATATAGTGATATCTCCTATTATTAAGTGTCCAAAAAAGCTTATTCTTGGGTACTATTTTATATATATATATATATATATATATTCTAGCTTAAATTCTTAAATGAAGAGGAATCACATGTGCAATAATTTATAATATGTCCTAATTCACGTTAATAATATTTTCTCTGGTAGATTAATCAGCAAACTCTATTGAGGTCCCAAGTCGTATGCTAAGAATTTTCTTTCAGACTTGGAGTTATCGTTGATGAATGTAAGCCAAAGTTTCCAAAATGACTTAAGTATGATTGTTGACGAACTTTCACTTCATACTTTAGGATGAGACTCAAGATACATCGAAAAATGACAAGTGTGAAAGTTAGAGAAATCTTTGTTGACGATGTATAATAAGCATCATGTTTCTCACCTGCTCATGGTCAAAATGGGTCAAACGACGAGTCGACCCATGAGTGAACAACCTTGCTTCAACGAGTTCGATTGTACTTGCATTCTGATACTTGAAATTTTACTTATCTTAATTTAGCATATTCTTTTGTGGCCCTTAAATCTATTAACAACTTAGTAAGGATTGGCTGCTAAGAAATAATTAACATGTGTTGTTATTTAAACCATTGTATTATAATTTTAACATTCAGTACTTACATCTTAAATATCAGGTTCAATGAAATTTTTTAAATAAATAAATGAAATTTTTTAAATAAATAAAAATCTACAGAGAGCTAATACAATTAAATTAATTTCCTCATAAATAAACAAAAATACAAAAGTTTGAAACAATAGAAGAAACGAGCCGAGTCAGCTTAACAATTCAATGTATAATAAATATAACATACATAATCCATAAAAAAAATTAGAAACAAAAGGTAATGACAACAACACTGATATGAGGTTCTAACAAGTCATTCCAAAAATAAAAATTAAACAAAACAAAGAAGGGAAGGGGAGACACGAGGACAACCACAGACTTTCCCTTTCCCATCTCCACCAAATTTCCTCCTCCTCCGAAACCCCACCTGTTCCCCAGCTCCTCTGAAACCAAATCCGACCCAAATCGGAGTGCATGGCCGTCGATGCTTCTCTTCGCAGGCGCGATCCTTGACCTTCCTTCTTTATACCCTTGCTTTCCCTTCATCATCCCCTCCTCACCCAGCCCGATCAAGACACCTCTCGATGGGTCTATGTTTAGAACTCGAACCCGCTGAACTAACATTTCCACTTCTTCCCCCCTTTTAGCAGATGACATGATTGCTTTCTCTTTTGTTGGGTATGGTTGGAAGTGGGTTGGTGACGAAGAGGCTTCGCCGTGATAAATGGAATGCGGCGAGGGAAGGCGGCGAAGTGGGTTGGTGACGAAGATGGAAGGAGTCGAGGGCGGCGTCTCTTGTAAAGGATAGCGACGCCGGTTGCGTGCTTAAATCTGATTTGGGTTGGATTTGGTTTCAGAGGACGTCGGGGGACGTGAATAGGTGGGGTTTCGTAGGAGGAGGAAAGTTGATGGAAAAGGGAAAGGGAAAGTCTGTGGTGGTCCTCGTGTCTCCCCTTCCCTTCTTGTTTTGTTTAATTTTTTTATTTAAAAACTTATTAAAACACGTGCACAAGCCGAGCCAACGTCAAATGCTGAGTCACCGACGGAGAAAATGGTTGACCGTCAATTCGATATATACATTCTACTAGTCCCACAAGCCAAATTTCTTCCATAATTTCAAAAGTGGACCATAAATGTCTTATTTGAAAAATGGGGCCAGAACTATCATTAATGCTATACTTTGGGCCAAACTAGCTAGGGTATTAACCCTAATATATACGGTGGTTATGAGTTAACCTTTATTTCAGACCTTTTATCATTGTACTAGGTGGCGATGCCGCGCCATGTCGTGGGGCGGAGATGGCCTATGAGCATGTATTATGTGGCCCATTATGGTATTTTGTTAGTACCGTTAGTCTAAAATTAATTTTTCGTTAGCGACGTTGTTAGTAATATTGACTGAGAAAAGATATATGGCGGTCAATATCCAAATTTTTTACTTTAGCTAAACCCAAGTAAACCCATTGATTATGGCTGGGGTATGAGTGACGTATATATGGTTTTGAAAGTTTGTAGATGGAAGTTTATATTCCTTTTGCTTCTCTCTAGAGATTTTCTTTTTCACACGAGCTAGAATTTTCAACAAATATACATGGAATGTTTAGCTAGATATCTACACATATCAAATCCCATAGTGGAAAATGACGACTTTCCAATAAGTAATAACCATATATATTATTTTTAATTGGGCTTGACATTGAGTTGAAAAAAGTTAGCGGTTAATAGTTCAATTATTAGTTCTCTAGACTATTGGTGAGTCATGTATGGACCCATTCATACTTGTGATTATAATACATAAAAATAGTATACTAATTAGGGTAATTAGACGAAGAAGGCAAAGAAAGAAATAAAGAAAGGTTTATGGAAGGTGAGTGAAAAATGAAACGTAAAGGGAATAGATTATAGAAAGGTTTTGACCAATTCTCTTAGTTAGCCGTCAATACAATAGTCAACCCTTTTCACCGTAGCAATTTATCGATAGTCGCTTATGTAGATGTAGCATATATTATTATATGTAGTTAGTAGAAGTTTGTTTAGTACCCTGTAAATGTACTCAATGAGCTTATAAATTCGCTCTTGCAAAATTTTAGAGTCGTATCTCTTTTATCATTTATTTAATATTCACATAATGAGCAAATATAAAATGGTCGAATCTTCTTCTACAGTTGAGTGATACAATATCTTGTATTGTACAAACTAAATTTATAATTTTATGTTATGGTGGATTAGATTCATGAATTGGTTCGAGAGGATTGGTGGATTGGATTCATGGACTCAAGTGAAATATAAATATTGGATAAATATGTAAATTTGAAAAAATTATAGGTATGAAAATCTCATAAAATTATATACCAAAACATAATTGTTCAATGATTTTATATTAAAATTAAATTTGGGGTATCATAATAAAAAATTTATATTATAGTAACTAAGTTGTGTCTTAATTAAATTTGAGGTATCAAAATGTAAATTATTTGGCGACAGTAACCTAACTTCCACTTTATATATATTAATTTTGATATGTATCATTATCATGGGTCTATATATGTGGGTTAGTTGAATTTAACAACATAAATTTATATTGGTATTTGGTACGGAGCATATATAATGTTTCACATAAAAAAAAAAGCAAAATTAAATAGTTATAAATAAACATATTGAAACTGACATTTGATTCTTTGCAGAGTATGATACCGGACATGATTGCTAGTGTAGAGATGATGCTAGAGAGATGGATGATGAACGACGGGAAGGAGATCGAAGTTCATGAAGAATTCAGGATTCTGTCGTCGGAAGTGATTTCCAGGACAGCTTTTGGGAGTAGCTTCAAGGAAGGACAACATATATTTGGCATGCTCAACGAATTGATGATCATTTCCGATAGAAATACATTCAAAATGAGTCTTCCAATAATAAGGTATGTACCTGCTGCCATCTCTGGGTTCAACTGGTTGCATACTGTGTTCACATTTGTTTTTTCACTTCAATATATTTTGTTTAATCAGAACCGTCGGTTATTATTATTTTAGATTATTTTAGATTAGATGAATTTTTTGGAAAATCTTGAATTGTTTTTGTGCGAATTCGTTGCTTTATTGTTAATCACATCATAAGTTATGATTGACATCATTTTAACATGAATCGTTTGTTGAAAATGATGGTTATGAGGCGAGTGCATTGAATGCACCCAAAAAAGTGAGTGCTCCGAATACGCCACCATATATATATATATATATATATATATATATATCATGAATTAACCGAAATTTGGGGCATGATACTATACCCTACTAACCTCTAATGGGTGAACCCCAGTCCCTAATTTTCTAACCCAAACCGCAAAATTCATTAAATCTTAAAATTAAATGAATATTATGCTTTGGGCTAGTTAATTGGGAATTGGAGTTCACACATTAAGGGTTAGGGTATAATATCATGCCCCAAACTCCAATCAATTTATTGTCTAAATAACAAAACTCAACAGGCATATGGTAAGGTAACCGTACGCCCGGGCGCACCGCTTGTCTTTGCTATATATATATGAGTCAGACTGGTGTACTCCTGGAGTGTACTTTGCTCCAAGTATGCCTATTGAGATATCTCTATCTAGACCATAAATTGAATCGATATTGGGGTATGATACTACACCCTAACCTACAAATGGATAAACCCCAGACCACATTTTTCTAACCCAAACCTGAAGTTCAATTTAATAGAAAACAATGGTTAACCGTTGAGATTGGTCGGAGCTCAATGTTGTACATCTAACGGCAGATCAACTGAAGTGTACTATACTCCTAAAGTATACCAGTCTTTTATATATTTATACATATAGTTTTTTTTTGTCAAATTAACCAGAAATCAACAAACAAAGTATTATTCAGTTTATACCTTTCCTCTCTTATTTTCCTATCCTCTAAATTTTCATATGCTTTTCCCTAAAGACTAACCACCATACCTCCTTCTTCGAGCCAAATTGTTGGCCGTTCATAAACCCAGTGAGTGGACCCCATATTGGGACCTCTAGCGGCTCCATGTCGATGTCGACCATCCAATTGTCGTCTGGAATGTGATTGTAGTAGGGGACTGGTACACAGTCACGAGCCACCTCATCATCATTAGTGAGTCTGACTCTGGTCCTGAATCATCAGCACCTTCAAAAGGGTCGGAGCTGTCTGCACTGACATTGTTCTCTCCTTCTTCATCGGAGGGGTCACTGACTGGTGCTGGCAGGGCATCCTCCATCTGATCCAGCTCATGAAAGGCACCTTCATCAGCTCCATAATGGTAGTTGTGAAAACTACCGCTGCCTGAGTGGAAGTTGTACTGAGGTTGGTTGGGGAGGTCCGGTTGAACTTCTTCTTCATATGACGGGAAAGATTGATGATGACCTTCACTTTGCTCTTGGTACTGAAAATATGAATGAGGATCATGATAACTTTAGTAGGGATGATCGCCATATAATTCACCTCCACCATGGATACCAGATGATTGACCGTGTCCAGAATGACCTCCAACGCCTACGACCGGCTTGGTGTAAACGAACATCTCGGCTTTGGAAAGATTGTTGGACCTCATGAATTCAAGCATGGCATCTACCTCATCCTGAGTGGTTATGAGATATTCCTCATGCCACAATGACCCACTTTCTCTGTTTGGATATCGGTACACCATACGATCAACTCTTCTCGTGCCATCCATGCAAGTAACGTTAGTGTACATTTGATGGAGGTCATCAAGCAGCGGTCTGGTAGCGACCTTTATCTTCTGAAAACCGCACCTTAGAGGTGCGTTTTATATTTAACTGCACCTTAAGGGTGCGTTTTATACATAAACCGCACCTCTAAAGTGCGTTCCATATTTCTGGACCAAAACCGCATCTTGGCCAAGCGGTTTTAGGTCTGACCTATAGAAACCGCTTGGCCGAGGTGCGGTTTTGGCCTGACCTATCAAAACCGTATCATGAAGGTGCGGTTTGTTTCTCCCAAACAAAACCGCAGCCTCAAGGTGCGATTTTGCCATACAAACCGCACCTTAGAGGTGCGGTTTTCATCTGCCATGCAGGCCCATGCAGACCCACGTCTGTTACGTCTGCATGGCATGTCGGAAATTGATTGACCAAAACCGCACCTCCAAGGTGCGGTTTGTATGGCAAAATCGCACCTTGAGGGTGCGGTTTTGTTTGGGAGAAACAAACCGCACCTTCATGATGCGGTTTTGATAGGTCAGGCCAAAACCGCACCTCGGCCAATCGGTTTCTGTAGGTCAGACCTAAAACCGCTTGGCCAAGATGCGGTTTTGGTCCAGAAATATGGAACGCACTTTAGAGGTGCGGTTTATGTATAAAACGCACCCTTAAGGTGCAGTTAAATATAAAACGCACCTCTAAGGTGCGGTCCATTAAAAAGGGTGCTATTAGTGTAATTTTTTTTTAAAAAGTGCTATTTCTGGAAAAATCCCTAGTTAATTAGCCCATGCTACGCATCGGGTTTCGCTTTGTAATCCGTTTGTCCTATTGATAATGTAGAATAATATAATTTGACCATGCTAACGGAATTGCAACCTTCGTTTTGTCGTGGGCATACAGCATACTTACATTGATGCGGTGTAGACTTTAATGTTGTAGAAATTGTTATTCATAGCCTTCGTTTTGCCGTGGGCATACCTCATACTTACTTGTAGGCATCGGTCGATTCGATCTAGAGCCGGTTCGAATTGAGATAGGGACAAACAAAATCGAAGGAAAAATAAAGACCAGAACCAGACCAAAATTTGTTTGGTTCATTTGGTTCAATTCGGTCTAGTCTGAGTTCAATTTCAATCTATTTATTCTTCATGCTAAATATAAATCATAAGAGAAAAAAAAAATTGAATCCAAATATATTATATCCAACCCAATTCATTCAAAATATTGATTCAATTCATGAACCAGATGGTTGCCCACCCCAAATAGTACCCACTACAGAAAAAGGAAATATATTTAAAACTAACCCTATTTTATTAAGGAATAGTGATTGTTTTACGTAATGGATTTGTAATGCGTAATCTTCTGTAATATGAAATGAAAAAGTACCTAGAGTTGACTACACGGGAAAAGAGTTTATGGTGAAATTAGGTGTAGGATATGGAAATACACCAACAAAAAACCGACTATATCCGACTATATGAGAAGACATAGTTTATGATAAAATTGGACATACACGTACTTCACGACGATAAGGAACTAATTATATTTAAATTTCATCATCTATTTAATAATTTAGTTGAAATCAAATTGGACATACAGCATACTTACGGCTTTATTATATATATATATAAGAGCACATATATAAAAGTGGAGTTGCCGTGGCAAATCCATTCCCAAACACCTAGAGAATTAATCTGGATTATTCGGTTACTTACGGCTTAATTATATAATAATAATAATAATAATAATAATAATCCTAAATTCTTTTTTCCAAATCTTCAATTCGATCTTCTATCCTTTATAATCGTTTTGGTTAGAGTAAAGTTTCTTTTGTGATCAATTTTTGGTTTAAATCAAAATCGGTAAAATTAAAACTAAACTGGACCAAAAACCCAAAGCGACAAGATTCCTATCAATTTGATTTCTGTTTTAACCGTAAAACTAACCAAAATTTACCAGCCCTCGTCTCATGTCAAGTTGTTATATGGAGTGGTGGTGTAACTGCAGTATGATATATATAAATTATTTACATGTCATAAAAATTAGTTTAGGTACTTCAATTTACCTCTAGTATTAATATCGTATTGTAGTGATCTATTCAAAACCAAAGACGAGAAGGTTGCTGTCAGCCTGGACCAAAGAATTGCAGATTCAATTAAGGAAATGGTGAAAAGTAGAGAAGCAAAGGTAAAAAACAGAGAGGCCGCTGGCTTTGGGAAAGATTATCTGGGACTACTTCTCAAGGCTTATCATGATGAAGGGCAATCCAATAAGATTTCTATAGAGCAATTGGTCGACGAATGCAAAACCCTTTATGTCGCTGGACAGGAAACAACAAACACTTTGCTCTCTTGGATGGTTCTGCTTTTATCAATCCACCAAGATTGGCAAGAAGAGGCAAGAAAGGAGGTTCTAACTGTATTTGGTCATGATAAACCCCCTTATGCCGATGGGATTACACGGCTAAAACTGGTGAGCATACTCTTTTGCCTTTGAATTTTTTTTTCTCACGAGTAATACAACTATTGATTCATATGTTTTGAGAAATGGGATGTCAGTCAATTTGGATTGTGGAAAACTATAAGAGTTCTTATGAAGGAGATGAATTGAAAATTTTGAGGGGAAAAACAAGATGAAAAAAATTACATAGTCAGTGTTATTGCGCCTTCATCGTGTTGTAGATATTAGTAATGGTATACGGTCCATAATTTAATTTCTCATAGTAACTCAAGTTGTTGAGAGTAGATGATATTTGAGTAGGTATCAACGTCTTCAATTTTCGAGAGGTCTTCTGTTCGAACCCCGACGACCTCATTTGTTACGCAGTACAATATGGTAATCCGTGCGAACTTGAATCCAATATGAGTTAGACTTTTCTTTGAGAAAAGTATGAATAATTCGAGTTATTGGGAGTAAATAATCTTTGAGATTGAGATCATTCTTTTGATATAGTATCACCCGATGTAACTCTAATCAATGTCACAAAACCAATAGGTAGAAACCTCCTGTATAATCAAGTTATTGGCTCTCATGTAACCTACTCTCTCTTGTTTTCAATCTTTTTTTACAGATGGGTATGATCATGAATGAAACTTTAAGGTTGTACTCCCCAGCATACTCAGGATTCATGCGTGATGTTGATAAGGAAATCAGACTTGGGAAGTTTGATTTGCCTGCGAGTGTCCAGTTTCACATTCCAATCATGACGATTCACCACGACCCTGACATTTGGGGAGAAGATGTTAATCTTTTCAAGCCAGAAAGGTTCGCAGAAGGAGTTTCGAAAGCGACAAACAATAACCCAATTGCATTCATGCCCTTCGGGATGGGACCCCACATCTGTGCAGGCTTCAACTTCGCCATAAATGAGGCTAAGATAACCATTGCTATGATCCTTCAACGCTTCACTTTCAGGCTCTCCCCGGGCTATGTCCATTCTCCTTTTCCTGTTTTGGCAGTTAGGCCAGAGACGGGGGTTCAAGTTATCATCAATGCACTGTAAGCAAAAAATAAATACAATTACTAATAATCAGCACTTCTACAATACTATATAGTATTGGTGTTTTAATGTACAACTTAAAGTTGTACCATAACATTAAATTTAGGCAAAATACACTTGTATAGCCAAAAATTTCGCGTTTGTGTCAATAATAGCCAAATTTGGCGAAATACCACTTATAGCTAATTCCGTCCAATTCTTTAACGCTGTCAACGTTAAGTGTGACTGGTCAAACGACGGAGCTTACGTGGCCAACCACATGAGCATTTTTGTCCAAAATCATATTAGGTGGAAATTGGCTTTTCTTACTATTATTAAATTAATGAACAAAAAAGAAAAAAAGAAAAACCTTTTATTTCTCTCGTAAATCCAAAGGTTAAACCCTACACTGTGGAAAACAAAAACAAAAATCTCAAAGTCCCTCTAATATACTCTTCCATCGTCACAAGTCTCCCCTGCCGCATCATCCTCTGCACTGTAGCGACGCCATCCCGCCGCCGCAGCTTCCCTTTCTCGTTCTCGCTACCCGTTCTCTCCCCGGCGTGCTGAACTCACACGACGTCTCGTCGAAGGAGAAGCTCCTGGAAGAGTACCAGAAGCTCTCCGTCTCATCGACGACACCGTCTTCTTCTTCCTCCTCCTTCTCGCCGCAAGGCGCCACCACAATTTTATCCCCTTTTTCAATTTAGGTTCTGAGATTCCGGGTTCAGGTCTCCGCCGACGCCGCCCGACCCGAAATCGCAACTGTGGAGGCCGATTTTGTTCGCATAATTGGTCCTCGCCTGTCACTTGGCATCGTTCCTCACCGGGAATTCCATTGAGTCGCTGCTGCAATCCGTGGTCGACAAGTCGTGGAACAGCGACTACCTCGAGTAATTCGGCGCCATCCTGCTGAGGGGCAGGCGGCAGCGGCGGTTGCTGTTGGCGAAGCCGAGGTCGTTCGTGGTGGTGGGCGGCGGAGAGGGGAACTTGGAGAAGTTGATGTCGCAGGAGAGGTGGTAGGCGGTTGGGGATGAACCCTAAAATTGAATTTGGGGAAAGTTGGGGAAGATGTGCGAAGCATATGGGTTCAGTGTATGTGAGGGAGGATAACAATTTTTTTAAATTTATAATTTAATGTTTTAATTAAATATTAAATAATTAAAAGTTTATAAGTTTAAGTTGTACCATAAAGCAATTTGTATCATTAAGTTATGGTACAACTTTACAACTTGAAGTTGTACCATAAAAGAATTTCTACAAAAAGTATAGGTACAATCTGAAATTGTACTATAACGTAAATGTATAATTTTAACTTCAACTATAAAGGCAAAACCCTATAGCATCAATACTATATAGCATTGTAAAATTTTTCAGTGTGTTGGAATTTCTAGTAAAAGAACAACATTTGTCTTTCTTTGTTGTATTTATTTTTATATTACAATGTGTTGATGTATGGAATGATTAAATAAGTCGTAGTAACTAACGAGGCAAAATTTTTTTAGGCAGGGAGGAAGTCAGGATTCAAACTTTCCATGAGGGGATAATATTTCAAACAAAATAATAATAAGAATATAATATTATTTATTATCTTAAATGTACATGATTCTCTTTGAGAGTAACATAATCACTCAAACTAGCGTCTAAACTAAAAGTTCCTACTACCATGACTATAGGCGAGCAAATTGTCACTCATTTTGTTCCGTAATTTGGTCGTCACTAGTATCATGGTAGAAAAAGTTCATTCACCAATCACAACTAGCGATAGAGATGGGAAGAGTCAAACTAAGATGAATAAACCGGTCGACAAAACCAAAGCTCTTTTCACTTCCCCAATTCCGCTAAACCATGACACAGTTGAGCAACAAATGATAGATTAACTAAAGAAGCATGTCTAAGAGAATCAACATGAAAAAAACTTCAATTCGAATGTCCATCTATCTGTTTTCTTTTCTGAAATATTTTATTGCAAGATTGTATATAATATCAATGTCGAAGGCTTTGTATCCATTGATAGGATCCAAACTCGAGCTCAAATTCAAAGAAACACGTCTATCTCTCCTAAACTAAACTAGTTTGGTGATCGACGCATTGCTCGTAATGTTATTTGAACACAATGTATTTACAATACGTATCCTACTTATTTAAATTATTTAAAAAGATAATTTTGTATAACACTAGTGAATTTTCAAGATCTGTCTATTTATTTCCTTTAAGCATAGATTATGTAGTGTGACTAGTTAGCATTAGAAGACCTTGTAGAATACGGCCCTAGCCATTACAAGCAATGCAGTTAAAAGAGCGATTCTACCTATAAGCGGGAAATGGGTAAAATCGTAAAACGTAGAATCAAAGCGTAAAAGCGTAAGTTTTTTATGCACCCTTTAAAATAGCTAAAATATGTTAAGTACAACATATATATAGTATGTAAAATGTGAATGTGTAGATTTTAGATAAGTTAATAAGTACATGAAATTCATAATTAAAATGTAATATCTAACACAAGCTAATTTGTGTTGACTCAAAAGTAGAGAAAACTCATAACATCTTAATAATAAGCTAATAAACGTAGATCGTAACTTGTAAACGAGCTTGAGAATCCAAATTCTCATAAGCTGGTTTGAGTTTACATAATTACATACGATCAATTACCCACAAACTTTTATCGTAACCCAAGTAAGAGCCACATATAAAGATTAAGGGAGACGACTGATAGAAGGTCAGCGGCTGTTGAGAATACCATTAGGTGTCTTTTTCAACCTAATGTGAAGCCCCTAGCTCGACACTAGTTGTAGAACGAGTGATGAATCATGTTTTCCTTTTTTTTATTTTTTGCTGATATTTCTCCAAAATTACATAATTTTGGGCCAATTAGCACATTTTTATGAGATGATCAAAATCGTATAAAAACGCTTCAGAATCGCGATTTTACCGATTTTAAGCAATTTTACCGATTTTACCCATGTTTTTACCAGTTTCTGTGACTAAGCGACTTTAGGCAGAAACTGAAACGTTTTGGTGGCCTGGATACGTAAAAACTTACGTTTTAATGCGTGATTTTGACTGCACTGATTACAAGGATTATAACTCGATTTCTAACATAAATTTTTGGTGCCATTGCTAGGGAATTCTGATTATATATATAAGCATCTAACCATCGTATGTCTCTTTTGGTTTGCAGAATATCATATGAGTTCAGTAAGTACTAGAATAAAAACAAAAAAGCTAAAGATCATGCAAGAGATCTTCCAAGAATGAGGAGCATCGAGCTCACCCATCTTGAGGACGAAGGATGGAGAATCTAGCTCAGGAGAAGATAAGATTTCAAGGCACATCAATCTTGTGCCAAGCTTGGGTGAGGAGACGAATATTGACAAAGACTGCAACTTCGATTCTGAAGTCGATGAGCCTATTCAACATCATTAATGGCTGGAGAAGGAGGAGGACGACGACGAGTGGCGATCCCACCTACTCTCTATGAGTACTATTAGCCAAGACCATCAAACATCACCTCAAGCATTATTGCAACATAAAATAACATCGAGATCCGCACTAAACTAATCCAAATGGTGCAACAAGATGGAGATTCGCAAAAGTGAATGATGATGAACCTATGCAACATTTGAAGATATTATTGGAGATCGTCAACTCTATTCCATGAGATAAAGCTACCAATGATGGAATTTTAGTACTACTTCTCCCATTCTCTCTTGGTGGAAGGGAAAAGCGATGGCTCGATTACCATCCATCAGGAACTTTCACCACTTGGGAGAACCTTGCTCAAGCTTTCATCAAGGGGTACTTTCCACCATGTAAGATGGAGGAGCTTAAAGATGAGATCAATCAATTTCAACAGAAAGGAGAGAATTTCTATGTTGCTTGAAGAAGAATCCAGGATTACATCAAGGCATGCCCCATCATAGATTCCCACCAGGTAAGAGTGCAAAGTACTTCGCCTAAGGCTTAGATCGAGATATCACTATGATGGTAAACCATTCGGCCAATGGGGATTTCAAAATAATGACAGGAGTGCAATGGCAAGAACATTTTGCCAAACTAGCAAGGAAGTCAAAGAACTGGTCCAACGACCATCAACGATCAAACCATTGAAAGCTGTCCAAGGATGGGAGGATGAATTTTCACCCTCTGTGTACATGTGAAGGGGCTTACCCAACAACTAAAGAAAGCATCAATGGAGTCAAAGAATGGACTACTGACATCCCTGATTGTTTGTAAAGCATGTGAAGAAGAAGGGAAGGAAGGTGTCGAGTGCTATAGGCATGGAGGGCAAGGACATGTCGAATCAATTATATTAATCCGGCTAAACGTGAGTCCTCAACAACCAATCTTCTAATCAACACATTCTTGTTCCCTTTGTACAACCCAATCAAGCAATTACTGGAGCTTTACTTGCAGAACCAGTCTAAATTCACCCAAATAAACTAACATTGAAACTTTTCTTTCATTCCACCAATTGACCTGGCATTCAGAGATTTCAAACCTTGTCTAGGATTTGGGATTTGGTTGCTCATTTCACTCCTACTTTCCTCGTTATCCCCCTCATCTGTCTCTTTCTCACTTCCTTCATTTACTCGAAGCTCTGTTGAGATTCCCTGATATAATGTAGTAAAAATTTGCATAGGGTGCAAATATCAACCTCTAGAAGCATATTCATAAAAAAACCCTCTAGAAGCATACGCCTTTGTTCTACTGAAGTTTTGTAGTATCAAAATGAAGAAATTGAATAGTGGTGAAGCGATAAGATAATCTCAGGAATTGTTTTTGTTAAGGGTGATAGAGATTTACTTTTTCTGGTTAGGTACTATTTAAGGGATTTGAACCTAGGACTTCCAAATTAAAGGCTAGTGGTATTACCACTAGACCAAACCCTTATTTTTGATAATTCAGGATGTTTAGGTTGAAGGGTGTTCATGAATCATTGAGTGAGATGTTACTATGTATTGAAGGGTGCTTGTGCAACTTGGTTCAGTTTTTGTGTTTTGTTGGCGTCAATTCAATAGCCC